AAAGAACGCGGGACCGCCAGGGCGTACAATCCTACCCCTTGGCGTGCACATTGTCCACGCCTGCCACGCACAATGCGCATCGGATGTGTGGTGATGAGAGTGAGGAGGTGAGTGGAGTGAGTGAGTGAGTGAGTGAGTGAGTGAGTGAGTGAGTGAGTGAGTGAGTGATTGTGAGTGTGAGTGTGAGTGTGAGTGAGTGTGAGTGAGTGAGTGTGAGTGAGTGAGTGATTGAGTGAGTGAGTGATAGTGGAGTGTGAGTGTGAGTGTGAGGTGAGTGTGAGTGTGAGTGTGAGTGAGTGTTGAGTGTGAGTGGGTTGAGTGGGAGTGTGAGTGTGAGTGTGAGTGTGAGTGTGAGTGTGGGGTGAGTGTGAGTGTGAGTGTGAGTGTGAGTGGGAAGGTGAGTGAGTGACGTGAGTGTGTGAGTGAGTGAGGAGGTCTGAGTGAGAGTGAGAGTGAGAGTGAGAGTGAGAGTGAGAGTGAGAGTTGAGAGTTGAGAGTGAGAGTGAGAGTGAGAGTGAGAGTGAGAGTGAGAGTGAGAGTGAGACTGAGTGAGTGAGAGTGAGTGAGTGAGTGAGTGAGTGTGTGTGTGTGAGTGTGTGAGTGAGTGAGTGAGTGAGTGAGTGTGAGTGTGAGTGTGAGTGTGAGTGTGTGTGAGTGAGTGAGTGTGAGTGTGAGTGAGTGTGAGTGAGTGAGTGTGAGTGTGAGTGTGAGTGTGAGTGTGAGGTGAGTGAGTGAGTGTGTGAGTGAGTGAGTGTGTGAGTGAGTGTGAGTGAGTGAGTGTGAGTGAGTGAGTGAGTGTGTGCCCGAGGGACGCCAGGGTGTACATCCGACCCCTTGGCGGTGCACATTGTCCCACGCCTGCCACGCAAAATGCACATGAGTGTGTGAGTGAGTGAGAGTGAGTGAGTGTGAGTGTGAGTGAGTGTGTGTGAGTGAGTGTGAGTGTGAGGTGAGTGAGTGAGTGAGTGAGGGTGTGAGTGAGTGAGTGAGTGAGTGAGTGAGTGAGTGAGTGAGTGAGTGAGTGAGTGAGTGAGTGAGTGAGTGAGTCTGAGTGAGAGTGAGTGTGTGAGTGAGTGAGTGAGTGTGTGAGTGAGTGAGTGAGTGTGAGTGAGTGAGTGTGAGTGTGAGGTGAGTAAGTGAGTGTGTGAGTGAGTGAGTGTGTGAGTGTGTGTGAGTGAGTGAGTGGGAGTGTGTGAGTGAGTGTGTGTGAGTGAGTGAGTGTGTGAGTGTGTGTGAGTGAGTGAGTGTGAGTGTGTGAGTGAGTGTGTGTGAGGTGAGGTGAGTGAGTGAGTGTGTGAGTGAGTGAGTAAGTGAGTGTGAGTGAGTGTGAGTGAGTGAGTGTGTGTGTGAGTGAGGAGGAGGACGGGCGGGCGGCGGGCGGACGGGCGGAGGCGGCGGATACAGAACTAAAAACAAAAACCCCACACGTCAATGTGGGGAACAACCTCATCAATCTAGACCAACCTAGTACTCTCATTGTTTCACCCATCAATCCTGGCTCAAGATCCATCAAGACGGCACGAGGCACATAGCGCCCACCAGTTGCTTCGTTGAAATATACATTGATGCGCTCCTCAAATAACATCATGTTTGCACCAGTACTCTTTCCGCAAACGACTTGTTGTTGAAAGATTGATTTAATTATCAAGTGCTAGAGTTCAAGCCTCATGAAACCAATATTCAATAGACACTAACAACTGCCAACCCATGATCTGCAAAAGCCTTTGTTTCCGTCCATCTGAATGGATGACCCCCACGTCACTAAGGCATATCATGGCACATCCCAAGGATCTACAATTGCAAGAGCATACAATAGCAATGGTATCGTGAAAGCTTTCATCGTAAGAATATGTTATAAGTTACAAATTATAAGAACCAAATTCAAACAACAAAAAAAGAATGCCAAGGATAGAAAGTCTGTAATCATCTGTCATCCTGCCACCGAGATTCAAGCTGCAAGTCGGAGTCACCATGGTATGTTCCGGTTGGGTCAATGCCGTGTTCATCTGCAATGACCTCCCAGAACTTTGCACCGATCTGGTTGCCGCACTGTCCTCCCTGAACGTGCACGAGCTCACGCATGGCTTCTGTTGCAAGCGAGAAGAACGGTCACAGACTGCTATGAGGATAGCTGGAGGGCTTCAAAACAAAGGGAACCTCTCAGTTCTGCGAGACTCCACCAAGTGAAGGAGTGAGCACACTCTATGAATCTGATCTACTTCCCTGCTTCAACTACTTCATTCCGCCTAGCCACTCCTTTTTCAAATACAATCTAGATTCACTTTTATCTGATGTCCCTTTTCAGAGTGTTGCGCTGGAAACAAATTGCTAGTAGCCTGCTGCAACAAGAACACTGAGCTGGATAATTCACACGTCGTTTTCATGCATCTCGGTTTGCCTCAAGTCTCTTTCTTGAAAGCACCAAGGATCAAGGGGCTAGCAAATTCGCCCAGAACACGTCTAGAGAAACTTGAACATGTTGAAAGTGGGCTCAGGATTCACCGAGTTTCAACTGGCTCATCCATCATATTCACCCGCTTCCTCATCAAACTCACCCTCCTCTTCAGCAGTGGCATCCTGGTACTGCTGGTACTCAGAGACCAAATCGTTCATGTTGGACTCGGCCTCAGTGAACTCCATCTCATCCATACCCTCACCAGTGTACCAGTGCAAGAAAGCCTTTCGGCGGAACATGGCGGTGAAGTACTCTGCCACCCTCTTGAACATCTCCTGAATCGCAGTGGAGTTGCCCGCAAATGCAACTGCCATCTTGAGACCCTTTGGTGGGATGTCGCACACGGATGCCTTGATGTTGTTGGGGATCCACTCAACAAAGTAGGAAGAGTTCTTGTTCTGAACGTTCAACATTTGCTCGTCAACCTCCTTGGTGGACATGCGGCCTCGGAACAGGGCGGCTGCCGTCAAGTAGCGGCCGTGACGAGGATCAGCAGCGCACATCATGTTCTTGGCGTCGAACATCCTTGTGATGCCGAATAACTTGAAAACTTCTTGGGACTAAGAAACTATGCGGGTTTGGGATTGTTTGGGAGGGAAACAAGGGGAAAAATGTTGTCAACGGAAAGACTTTCAAAGCCACATGTTCTCACATATTTAACAACTGAGCATCTGCTGGGTCAGCTCGGGCACGGTCAGTGCACGATACTGCTGAGAACCACGGGAGGTCAATGGTGCAAAGCCAGTCATGAAGAAGTGCAAACGTGGGAATGGCACAAGGTTCACTGCAATCTTGCGCAAGTCGCAGTTCAGCTGTCCTGGGAAACGCAAGCAGCAGGTCACACCACTCATAGCAGCAGACACCAAGTGGTTCAGGTCGCCGTATGTTGGTGTGGTCAGCTTCAAAGTGCGGAAGCAAATATCGTACAATGCTTCGTTGTCAAGCAGGAAGGACTCATCCGAGTTCTCCACCAACTGATGAAAGCTCAAGACCGCCTTGGTCGGTTCACGTTTGAGGCATGTCCACAGCAAGGTATAAGGAAACATACTGAATGGGAGCGTGTGTGGGCATTCGTTTCACTTCATCTCCATTAGACCCTCAATTCGGACAAGCCGTGCGTTTCACGGCTGATACATGTTTCAGTTCAAAAACGTCTTGAAAGTTGAGCTATTTCGTCTCATTCAAACTGTCTGGATGTTTGATTGTTGCAAAATGTGAAAGACTGCTCTGCCACCCAAAACAAGTTGTACCATGCTGTATACTGTGTCACAGCTTCTCCTAAGCAAAACCAGAGATGCGTTGTATGGCTCCACCACCGTGTCCGACACCTTTGGTGAAGGAATCACGGAGAATGTTTCCATGATACGGTCTGGGTACTCTTCTCGCACCTTGGAAATCAAGAGTGTTCCCATGCCTGCACCAGTGCCTCCACCAAGGGAATGGCACAGCTGAAATCCCTGAAGGCAATCACAACCTTCGGCCTCCTTGCGAACGACATCAAGCACGGAGTCGATCAACTCAGCTCCCTCAGTGTAGTGACCTTTAGCCCAGTTGTTTCCTGCTCCAGTTTGGCCGAAGACAAAGTTGTCTGGACGGAACAGCTGGCCAAAAGGTCCGGCACGAACACTGTCCATAGTTCCTGCAGTCAGGATGTTGCTCCCAGGGGTATACTAAGTTGAAAGCAACTTTACAAGGTTACCTTGCAGCAAAGTCCCAAAAGCTCATCAACAGGAATTCAACGATTGCAATTCTATGGAAAACTACTAGTTGATATTTCAAGGTTTGTGTTGCTATCAACAAAATTATCAATCATGTTGTTTTACCCATCAATCCTGGCTCGAGATCCATCAAGACGGCACGAGGCACATAGCGCCCACCAGTTGCTTCGTTGAAATATACATTGATTCGCTCCTCAGGCAACATCAGGTCTGCCCCAATCAATACTCTTTCCCAATCAACTTTTTCAATGATTGAAGTTATATGATCTTATGCTGGTCAAGTGCAAGACATTGAGCGACATGAAACAAATAGACACTGTCAACCCATGATCTACAAAATCCATCCTCAGCGTGTGGGCAAGCCCTGCACAGAAACTAACAAGTTATTGTTTGTGTGTCAATGAAAACAAGCAAAGAAAGGATCCAAAGACACCTATATGTTGTTCTATTCATATATCATATACTGTAATATACATATATATATATATGTATATATATATGTAAGAGGATATCAGTGTACTTACTATTACTTTATATCTCTATACATATATATATATAGATATCTTTAAATATACTGTCATAAGTAGTACAGTATACCTGTATGTAGCATCCCAATTATAACAAAATTACTTTACTTCGCGTGATCCCCACCATGACATTTATACATTTTCTTACTGGCAAATCTTCTGGCATTCTATCTGACATATCTTCTGAGATTCTATTTGGCATTCTATCTGGCATATCTTCTGGCATATGTTCTGGCAAATCTTCTGGCATTCTATCTGGCAAATATTCTGGCATTCTATCTGACATATCTTCTGGCATTCTATCTCGCATTCTATCTGGCATATCTTCTGGCATATATTCTGACATATCTTCTCATTCTATCTGGCATTCTATCTGGCATATCTTCTGGCATATCTATCTGGCATATCTTCTGGCATATTTTCTGGCATTCTATCTGGCAAATCTTCTGGCATTCTATCTGGCATTCTATCTGGCAAATCTTCTGGGATTCTATCTGGCATATTTTGTGGCATTCTATCTGACATTTTATCTGGCATTCTATTGGGCATACCTTCTGGCATGCTATCTGGCATATCTTGTGGCATTCTATCTGGTATATCTTCTGGCATTCTATCTGGCATATCTTCCGGCATATCTTCTGACATTCTATCTGACATCTTTTCTCACATTCTTCCCGTTGAGGTCCGGCAGTGCCCACTGCGATCTGGAAGTCGCGGTTGAGGTCCGGCAGTGCCCACTGCGATCTGGAAGTCGTGGTTGAGGTCCGGCAGTGCCCACTGCGATCTGGAAGTCGCGGTTGAGGTCCGGCAGTGCCCACTGCGACCTGGAAGTCGCGGTTGAGGTCCGGCACTGCCCACTGGGATCTGGAGCTCGCGGTGGAGGTCCGGCAGTGCCCACTGGGATCTGGAGCTCGCGGTGGAGGTCCGGCTGTGCCCACTGGGATCTGGACTGCGAGGAGGAGGCGGCGGGTGAGGAGGCGGAGGAGGCGGAGGTGGAGGCGGGGGAGGCGGAGGCGGAGGAGGAGGAGGAGAACAGCTCTGATAAAATCTAACAACCCTCACCTGGCAGGTGGGGAATAATACAAACATAGCATCCTTCTTTGCCCGCTGCATCGACACCGAGGTTCAAGCTGCAAGTCGGAGTCACCATGGTATGTTCCGGTTGGGTCAATGCCGTGCTCATCCGCAATGACCTCCCAGAACTTTGCACCGATCTGGTTGCCGCACTGTCCTCCCTGAACGTGCACGAGCTCACGCATGGCTTCTGTTCCAAGCGAGAAGAACGGTCACTGACTGCTATGAGGATAGCTGGAGGGCTTCAAAACAAAGGGAACCTCTCAGTTCTGCGAGACTCCGAAACCACAATCGAACGTTCCCTACTCGTTTCCTGAATATTCTGAGAGTACCTGATTTCCTGCTTCGAATGCCAGGCTACCTAAGAACTTATGATTCAAAATACTGATTCTTTCTATGTTTCATGCCAAAGTGCAACAAAAATCAATTGAAGCCTCAATTTATTGTTGGAGAATGTTAAACATAGATCAATTCCGACGGCTATCCCACCCTTTCAAATATGGTCCACATTTGGGATGATCAGGTAGAAACCTACCTTTGGTGATCTTTGTTGGTTTCTGAAAAATCTTCCAACTTGTCCCCATTATCTCGCCAATTACTGTAGATATATATATAATAATATTATATAATCTCCCACTATACGATACTACTGTATATCTATATCCCCTTAGTTTTTCCACTCCATGAAATTCGCATGGCTACCCCTGGCACAAATGGCCCATGTCTAAATAGCGGATCTTCCAGCACGCCATGTTTGATTGCCAGATGGTAAATTGCCTTTTTTTGGAATGATGCCCCCTTATCATTATGGGATTTTATGGGTATGTCATGGTATGTCATACCACAACTGTGCATAAAACCACTGGTTGTATCATCATGTTCGCCATCTATTGGGGGAAAGACATTTTCAGACCCTGCACCACAGTCTCCAAGTCATCATTTTCATGCATCTCGGATCATCTCGGTTTGCCTCAAGTCTCTTTCTTGAAAGCACCAAGGATCAAGGGGCTAGCAAATTCGCCCAGAACACGTCTAGAGAAACTTGAACATGTTGAAAGTGGGCTCAGGATTCACCGAGTTTCAACTGGCTCATCCATCATATTCACCCTCTTCCTCATCAAACTCACCCTCCTCTTCAGCAGTGGCATCCTGGTACTGCTGGTACTCAGAGACCAAATCGTTCATGTTGGACTCGGCCTCAGTGAACTCCATCTCATCCATACCCTCACCAGTGTACCAGTGCAAGAAAGCCTTTCGGCGGAACATGGCAGTGAAGTACTCTGCCACCCTCTTGAACATCTCCTGAATCGCAGTGGAGTTGCCCGCAAATGCAACTGCCATCTTGAGACCCTTTGGTGGGATGTCGCACACGGATGCCTTGATGTTGTTTGGGATCCACTCAACAAAGTAGGAAGAGTTCTTGTTCTGAACGTTCAACATTTGTTCGTCAACCTCCTTGGTGGACATGCGGCCTCGGAACAGGGCGGCTGCCGTCAAGTAGCGGCCGTGACGAGGATCAGCAGCGCACATCATGTTCTTGGCGTCGAACATCCTTGTGATGCCCAATGACTTAAAAACTTCTTGGGACTAAGATGGACTAAGGCTTAAGGCTTAAAGGGACAATGCGGGTTTGGGAAACCATGGGAAACCAGGGGAAAAATGTTGTCAACACAAAGACTTTCAAAGCCACATGTTCTCACATGTTTAACAACTGAGCATCTGCTGG